GTCGAAGACCACCGAAATCCACATAAAAGATTCTTTGCAATACCTGAATATGGTAAAGAGATAATGCCAAAAGAATAGATTCGGTAAAACAACTCGCCTCGTATGTGAGCAAGGTCACTGCGAACTGTGGGCTGGAACGACAAACGCGGGCTGCTGTTCCTTTCCAGAACGCTGCTGGACCTTCTTCTACCATGATTTTACGAGCACAATCTAATGAAAGGACCATTACGATTTTGGCTGCTAAAATAAAATTGTATTCACTCACCAATGACTCCAGAGTAAGTGGTCTGTCCTGCTCTCGCTGCGACTTGCAACCTCGTCTTGATTACATCCGCAGGTGTTACCAGACCAGCCGCCGGAACACCGGCTATGAAGGCGGAAGCAAAAAGGGAGCCCGGATGATTGATGCCCTGGAGGCTTAAATGTTGAGAAGAATCTTAAGCAGGCCTAAGACAAAAAGACATACATCTGAGTCAGCACTGGCCAACTTTGCGTGAGCGTAGGCTGGGAAGTAGATGGCCGAAAATGGGATATCGCGAAGAAAGCAGGCCCGAGCCCCTTTGTAAAGACCGAGGAATCCTAGCTCTTTCAACACATTGAAAACTCCGATCTACACATTTTCTTATGAGGGAAAGGCCCTGAGCGTACAATGAGAGTAAGACTTGCCCTTTGAGATGATTGTATCTCGCCAGCTACTTGTAGGCGAATCTTGACAATTTCCAATGGATTTGTGAATATAACCTAAATTTTCTAATTCGTTCATCACAATAACCAAAAAATAGACCACTTTCGATCTTTGACCACATCCAGGAAAAAAATGCTCCTGTTTTCAAAAGTATAAAGAACATACGGGGAGAAAGCAAAAATCCAATTCAACAGCAAATGTAAACGAAAGAAGACCAAAGAACAATACAGGAGATAATGAGGAGCACATATGCCAAATGACAGAAAAGGAAAAAAACTTCAAAAACGTGTGCAATCAAATTATGCGGGTGTCTTCAAAAAATCACCATAATAAGCAGCATCCCTCTTTTGATTCAACAGTTTTTTCCTTTCCAAAGTTTAAGAAGTTTGTATTAATTTCAGGAAATGATACGAAACCTTGAAAAATGTCTGTATCTTA